TATACCCATGTTTTCCTTCACTGACAACACAGTACTGTATGTGTGCAAAAGGCTTCATATTTGTTGTCTGTACCTCCCATGTACCTCTCTATGTCTTTCTCCTCCTCAATGCTGCAATATTGGTCACTCACATTTGGTACATTGCCCTTCTCTTCACCCAAATCAATACTTATCTCTATCTATCTAACCATGTTCCCTCCCTTCCCCTCCCACCCCTGGTAACCAACAAAGAAAATGTCCTTCTATACATAAACCTTTCCTCAACTTTTACAATAACAGACTAATACAATATTTGTTCTTTTGTGATTGACTTTTGTCCCTCAGCATAATGTTCTCCAAGTTCATCCATGTTATGTGGTGTTTTGCAGATTCTACATTATTCTTTGGTGTTGCATAGTATTCCATTGTGTGTATGTACCATAGTTGGTTATCCATTCTTCAGTTGATGGACATCTAGGTTGTTTCCATCTTTTGGCTATTGTATAGTCTATTTATGCCATACATAAGAGCCTTAAATTTGCCCCCATATTTTCCTTGAGGAACTGTATAGTTTTAGGTTTCACATTTAAGTCTTTGATCCATCTGGAGTTCGTTTTTGTGTATGGTGTGAGGTATAGAACTTGTTAAAACAGTCCATTCTATCTTGCAACTCTCTTAACTTCCTCACCATTTAGAAGTTCTGTGACTACACAGTCTTTTCCCTCTTTTTTGTTAGTAGTTGTCCTCACTTGCCAATTGATGTCTCTGGTTCCCTGTTTCAATCTTCTAAGCTCATTTTACTTTGGATACGTACATAGCTGTGGTTTCTGGGTTATGTCATCTTGTGTATTAATGGTCGGTTGCTATTTGCTATTTTTGGTTCTCTGTTCAAAGGACTCCCTTTAGCATCTCTTGTAAGGTTGGTCTGGTTTTAACAAATTCCCTTAGTTTCTGCTTCTCTGGAAATCTCCTAATTTCACCATTGTATTTGAGGGACAATTTTGCCGGATATATAATTCTTGGTTGAAAATTTTTCTCTTTCAGGGTTTTATGAATACCATCCCATTGCCTTCTCACTTGCATGGTTTCTGCTGAGAAATCAGAGCTTATTCTTACTGGCTGTCCTTTGTAGGTAACTTTTTGTTTTTCCCGTGCTGCTTTCAGGATTCTGTCTTTGTCTTTGGTTTTGATGAGTTTGATGATGATGTGTCTTGGTGATTTTCTTTTGGGGTCTATCCTGTTTGGGATTTGTTGGACTTTCTGAATGGATATATTCTCATCTTTTTCTAATTTACTTTGTACACAGTTTTCAGCATTATGAGTGCATGTGGTTTTTCAAGTAAAATTAATGGTAACTTAAAACAGTCTGACTATTCATCTAACTACAATTTCAAACCACTCCTTGGAAGGAAGGTTGGGCAATCTACTTCCGTAGTGTTACCGCCTCGGAAACCCAAGGAGGAGTCACTACGAGTCAGTTCCGAATAGATGGCACATAACATCAACAACTATTTCAAAACTCCACTTGCATTTTAATATCATATCTGAGTTTTAACTCTCATTGGTATAGGTGGATTTAGTTCTTGGAGAATTATGTGGAGTAAACAAAAATCAGACCATCAACCCTGCTGTGGACCAGTGTTGCAAATCAAGCTTTGCCTTCAGAAGGCACTGCTTTGAAGGTTTGAAAGCTGACAAAACATATGTGCCTCCGTCAACCTCTCAAGATTTATTTACCTTTCATGAAGACTTGTGTCAGGCTCAAAATGGAGCACTCCAGAGAAAGAAAGAAAGGTACAAATAGCCTCTTCAGTTTGTCTTTTCCTTGAGCCTGAAGTCAATCTATGTATTAGTGGGAAGGTTTATTGTAGTGGATAGGTACAGTTAGTATCACAACACTGTTCCTTCCTTCAAAATATTCAGTCTCTCCAATCAGTGTTCACAAGTAAAAATCTAGCTTGTCTTTTCCTTTGCTAAAGACTTGAAGGGTCCAGTAGACTATGATTTGGAAAAGTGAGTTAGGGCAGCCAGCAAAAATGCTCACAGGCAAGTTCATTATGAATTAGGTTTTCACTCTATAATATAATAGATTGATATAAGTGTGTGACATGAGAATATCCCCTATGTTTGAAAAAAGGAGATGCCCAAAAGGAGCAGGAATTTTACTTTATTGTCTCAGGCAATGCTATAAATACCAAAAAATAAGATCTGTTTTTCAAATTTAGGCAATTTCTGTACCAAGTGGAGTGGAAAGAACATTTGAGAGAAATGAGGACTGTGGGTTGTTTTAGATCTAGATTTTTTAGAAAGATTAAATGTAGTCAAATGAACCTAATATATCTTCACATTTTTATACCATTTTGCTGTGATTATATAACCCTCCAAAGAATATTACCATGGAATCTATCCCATAACTTTAAAAGGAAAATTTCAGGAAGCCCTTCAGAAATGGACTATTTTAACTCTTTACACTTACCCAAGTTGAAACCCCAAGATATGTGATTCAGTGCGTTTTGGAGCAGTTTCTGAAGGAGCTGTTAATTGATTCTGTTTGGTGACATCTCTGGGCCATAGGTTTCTTGTCGACTTAGTGAAGCTGAAGCTTCAAAGTAAAGATGAGGAACTACATTCATTGCTTACAGATTTCACCAATGTGATGGAACAGTGTTGCAAAACAGACGGGCCTGAATCCTGCTTCAGTGAAGAGGTAGTTAAATTTATTTTCAATTAAAATTCAGTTGGCACTCCTGGTGAAATAAATAAAACAGAACTCCCTGTCAGACCCTGCCTCTACCCCACATTGTCTACAAGGTCTATGTTTGAGAGCACAGTTACTACACAACTAATATGCAGACATCTGTCTGGTAGGCATTTGGTCCTGTCTCCTTGGTGACAACGTGGTGTAGGAAAGGATGTCAAGAAGACCTTGGCTCCATTCCCGGGATTTTTGGTCTTGTAACTTAAACTGAACTGCTATTCACAACCTATAAATGAAGATGATAATAATTACTCTTGAATTATATCATTGATCTGTTTTGAATCACTCATTTCTTTTTAAAACAAATTTTTAAACTGAGTAGTAAAAGAAATAAAAATCAGCTGCAGAGGGAGGGGAGTGGGAAGTATTAAGAAGTGAAGTCCTTCAGGGGTGACTTTCACTTTCCTGTGGCTTGTCCCAACATCCTTCAGTTGAGAATGCCTGTGTGTAAAGTGAGGAAGTGGGAAGTAAGGGTAGCAGGGGGAGGAGAGGGAGAAATGTTTCCTGCTTGTTTTCACTCTAGTGACCGTGGAAACTATAACTGTAGTGGTCCAAGGATTCTCAATTACTTCTGAATGTCAGCTCCAATGGATGGGTCCCTGAGATGCCTGTTCCTTATTTCCCAACCTCATTTTTCACCATTTCTTTCCTAGCCACACTCACTACACTTCAAACTCAAAATTTGCACTCACACTGCATGAACACTCACATCCACATACCCTCACAAACATCATTTATTCTCCTTGAGAACGTTCTACTTTCCTGAGTGGGTGCTTCATCTATGGAGTTTCTTTGAACAAAGTTTTAGTTCTTTAAGAATACACTTTAATTTAATTAGAGGTTGTTAGTCCCTACCTGACATTCACCTCAGAGAGTGTGTACATTCAGGCCCTGTAAATGCAGGGATGAATTTACTGAAAGTTCAAAAAAATCTCTGCAGATCTATTTTCATGCTCACTTGAAGAGTTTTCACCATCTCTTTGGACAATATGGGAGTGATTTTAATTTTCTTTAAAAATTTCATGGGACTTTATACCTCTAAATTTAAATAATAGTAACTTAAATTATTCATCTTTTTTTTCCTCCCTCTCAGGGTCCAAAATTGGAAGCCAAAAGCCAGGCTGCTTCAGAAACAAATTAAAAAGCGCCAAAGGTAATACCTTCCATCTCAACCAAGTGCCAAGGGCATTTGAAGCTTCTTTGATCTCCCCACCTTTTTACCTCTCATGTTTCAGTGGCGATATTTGTTCATCTCTCAAACCTTGTAGCTAACAGACTCCAATACTAGTTCTGGAGTATTTTCACGGGTATCAAGTACTCCTTAGAGGTAGCAATGTTGCATTTCCGCTAGCACTTTTCCAAATGTCTCAGCAGTTTTTTCAACAGCTAAACGGTAACCATTCTTCTGTTTTTCTGCTATTGCACTCAGCTCTCTAGACCAGAAAGGAGAGGCAATCACATCTCTGGTAGTTGACAGAGAGGAGGGTAACTCTGTGGGGGTTGAGGTGTACTGACAAGCCTCAGTAATGCTGTCCCAGGAGACTTGCTGAAGCTTTTACATGTACAAAGAGCTATATGTTTGTGACTTCAGAACAATATATAAAGAATGTCTCTATCCCTGTAGTTTATGCAAGACTTGTAACACAAACTTGAGGAACAAATGATGGTGTAGATAAAGCATATTTTTTGCGATATCAGAACAGAGAAATATGAATCTCGGCAAAGGGTAGGTTTGAATTGACAAGATGTGAAACATAGTGATCACTAAAAGTTTTTCAAATACATGATATTCCATCATCCAGTTTACAAGAATCATAGTCTTTTGTTGCATAAAATACTATTTTTTCCTCCCAGACTGCTGAGAAAAGACATGGAGACCAATTTATCTGCTTCCTATCTGTCCTGTGGTGAAGTTAATTTCCTGAGAAGAACAAAATACTTCTTCTGAATCTTTACCAGAAATCATGTTATTGCAGCATGAAACAGACTCAAAATAATAAAGTTCTTTCTCTCAAACTGAAGTTATGTATTATTTTCACAGCAAAATTAATGAAACAATAATGATTAATTCATTTCTTTAGCATCTTTTGCTCACAGCTATACCTACCTTACTTCTTGGAAGTCAAATCTCCATGGTAAGAAATGTGTGGCAGAATCCTCATGGATCACACTCATGGCACCACTGGGAAGGAAGCAGGTAGAGGAGGTCTTACACCATTACTACTAATAATATGAGCTGATCTTTATTGAGTGTTTACAATGAAGCATTTTCCTAGGTATGTTTCATGCACTGTCTCATTTAATCCTAACAAATGTATGACGTAATTATCATTGTTATACCCACATTATAAACAGAGAGGCTGAGGCTTAGGAAGATAAGTATGTTAAATAACATCAAACTAGAAATCAGTAGAACCAGGGTTGAATGGAGTCCTCTAATTCCAGAACAATATTCTTAAGCATTTTACACAACAACTTTAGGTGTGGTCATGTTTTACGCCTTACAAACTTCATCATTCAGGGAAGGGAGTAGTGACTAAGGCATCAGCAACAGAGGCTTTTCTTTCCTCCATTCAAAGTCAAAATTGCTGGTTATGTTGGTGATGTGCTTAGCAGTAACAGCAAAGGACATGGGATGGACAGAAACTAGAGACTCAAGAGATGAATATTGGTCATTGGTTCATGGCCTAATTATAATTACCGTTCTCTAAACTTTTAAAGATTTTTTTAGTACTGCCATGTTTGAAACTAAGGAGTGTGTATGGTGTAGTGGTCAAGACATTTGGCTGCTAACCAAAAGGTTGGTGGTTTGAACATACCAGCTGCTCTGAGGCAGTCTGTTTCTGTAAAGATTTACAGCTTTGGAAACTCTATGAGTCAGAATCAACTCTACAGTAGTGAGTTTCTTTTTTTTTTTTT